CTTCGCTTAGGGCGGGCACGAGGCTTGCTGGGGTCCACAGTCAGAACATATGCATGTTGTCTAAGGGGCCCCTGAGGGCACATTCCTCACAATAAGAATAAATGTAAAAGTTGTAAAACATGATTTTTTTCCTTTTTCTCTCTTGGGGCCGGCCGGGAAAGTGGTCCCGGCCCACTCTGGTAGCCTAGAAAAAAAGGAGAAAAGAAAAAAGAACGAAAAAAAGAAAAAAAAAAGAAGGAAAAGAAAACTTTGAAAAAGGGAAAAAAAAAGAAGGGAAAAAAACGGAAAAAAGAAGAAGAAAAAAGGGGTAAAAAAGCAAAAAATGAGAGATTTGTTACCTAAGAAAAAAGATGGTTCTGAAATTTCAAGATATGTTACCTGTAGGTAGTCTTCAAGACGCAGATCGACTTTTGTGATGCCAGATCTCCTAACTGCGTTTGCTATGCTCTCCAAGGTAGCGGTGCCCTTGCAACCACAGATTCACAACCAAAAAAAAGGGCAAGGAGGGCATCAAAACCACGCTGGGAAGACAGAGAGAGAGAGAGAGAGAGAGAGAGAGAGAGAGAGAGAGAGAGAGAGAGAGAGAGAGAGAGAGAGAGAGAGAGGTTAGGGAAAACATAACACGGAAAAACAAGAAAAGAAAAGAAAAAAAAGCTGCAAGCAACCGCCAAAATTTCTGATCAGATATTTTCGGTGAATCATCATACCTCAGCAGTCTGAAACCCTGTCTGACATAAAGGACCATAAGGAACCGTTTTGGAAATCAAAAAAAGAAAAAAAAAAGGCAAAGGGGGCACACAGGAAAACAGATGCCATATCTGGAAAAGGGTAACAGAGTGCATGAAGGCCATCAAGGCAATGCTGCTAATCAAGGCAGCTACTGTCTTCACCGGAATAGAACTAGCGGTCCTTTCTGCTGTGTCTAGACTGAATGTTGCCCTAAATACAGTCACATATGGCAGACACTTCTGACATCAGACTCTGTGTGAGCCCAAATGGCAAAATCTAAGGTGGGGGGGGGGGAAGGGGGGGGGGGGGGGGGGGTCTTGTTTTTTAAGTTTTTTGGGGAAGGTGGATATGCCCTAACATTATGTATCGATTCCGAATCAGGAAAACAAAAAGAAAAAAAGAGAAAAGGAAGGATTCGAATTTCGACCCCTTGACCTGTAAATGAACATTGCCCAAGTATGTCACATTTCAGCCGGCAGCCAGGTAGTCAAAAACACAAAATGTCCATCCGACCCCCCCCCCCTCCCCCCCTCCTTTCACTCGTTCTCCTCCAACCCTCCAGAAAAGGTAAACTTAGAGGAAAGGATTGGAACACGATCACCGAACATGTCATGCAGCTTAAATTATTTAATACAGTACACAATAATGGGGCCCCACTGCAAGCATTGTGACCGCCCTAAGTGAAGGCGGGCCTGCATTTCACCAAGAGGCCTAAATTTTGACATTTGCAGGGCCTATGGGGGTGCCAGACAGTTACTGGGCGCCAGTTGGTTGAAGGGCCCGCCCCCACTATGCAACCGTGTCCTGAGCTTTCTAGGCTCTTCTGAGCACGACGTGGAAGCAGGCCCTCTGGCCAATCACGACGCAGCGAGGGACACATGCCATGTCGCACAGTTGGGCGTGCCTAACTGTTTTGGTCCCCGGCCGCTATCTGAATTGGGCCTGGGCGCAGACACTTTTGGCCCAACGTGAAGCTACTGGGCACCACGCACGCGCCAGGCCAGGCAGCCAGCGAGCCCAGCCACTTTCCATAAAGGAAATTGCCAGGCTGCTGGGGAGGCATTCTTGCGCGTGGTGTACACGCGACAGTGCTGCTGATTTGTGCACTAGTGGCCACGGGAAGACGTGCAAGGGCACACACGGGGGCAGGTGGTGAAGGTGGGCGCTGCTGCGAGCAGCACAGAGCCCCAGCCCGGCAGCCATAGCCCGGCTGGGGGCACATACCTGGTTCGTCGTGGAGGTCTGCATGGGTGACATCTGCAAATACTTTGTGTTCCACTGCTGAAGTCTTCTGGTTGCGACATCCAGTTTAGGCTACGGTCTTCACCCGAATAGAACGCCCGGTTATAATAGCTGTATCTGGACTGAAAAGTGCACCAAATACGGCTATAATGACCGGGCGTTCTATTCGGGTGAAGACGGTAGTTTAGGAGCTGTGTGATAGCAGTCTGGGCAGCGCGTGCCCTGTAGGGAGAAGAGACATCGGACACATTGTTGATGGTAACGAGGACAGCGCTGACGTTGACAATTGAGTTTATGTCCTTTGTCTCCCTCGGTGTGATATTGGTGTGTTTCTGCTTTCTGGACAGCTCACGACTATCTGGCGTTCAATCATTTCAATGTGATGTTGTAATTTGGATTTCTGTCGTTCACTTCTGCTCGTTTTCCTTGCACAAATATTCAATTTAAATATTTGGAAAAGTGCGATAAATAACTGGGTCATTCACCTCCACGCTTCATGTCTATGGCGTTTTATAAACTTTTATCAAGTTTTATGCCTTTTTTTACGACTTTTGGGTCATTGCAAGAAACACCATTCTATTTAAAAATTCGGAAAAGTGCAATAAATCAATGGTGTTTTTTTATGGTGCAATGACTTGCTGATTTCTGCTGCCGAGATTGACAGCGAGGCTGTACACTAACCGGTAGGTTAGATTTGTAATTTTGTTTGGCTGAGGGCTAACCGAGAGACCTGCCTGTAAGGAAATTCGTGAGGGACAGATCTGCAAATCCGGGAAAATACAGGCCCGGTACTAACCGAATTCGTACAGCTACCCTAACTGCCTATAGCAGGCCCGGGCTACCCCTAGGACAGACAGG